GTCATGGTCGGGCTCGATGCAAACGTCAGTGTATATCTAGTCATGCCGTTGGAAAATCATGTCGTTTCTCGCCACATCCTTTCTGAGAAACAAGGGGACTACCTGTATACGGTCAAAACCATTTTCGACCTTCGTATGATTAGTCAAGATTGGAACATAATGGACAGAAGGTCGTCTTCATAATATCGAGATGAGATCTGAAGCCAGGATGCCGAGCTCAAGTTTCAGGGACCAATCAAATACCGAGCTTGAAGTCATTATCGAGCTCGAGTCCAAATCGAACTATGATGTGAAATGGTGTTATCGAGCTCAAGAGTCAGAGACCGACCAATACCGAGACCGAGTCAATACCGGGCCTCGAGTCAATATCTAGCTCGAGTCAATATCGAGCTCTTAATCTGGAGATCGACCAATACCAAGTCCGATCAAGATCGAGCTAAGAGACAAGAGCGCACTAAGGGAGAGAATCTCGGCGGGAATTAAGGAAAAGCCAATTAACTAATCTATCATGGGAGTCTCACTATGTATTTTTTATATCTAAAATAAGGTTTTCTCCACTATAAGAAGAATGGCTATCATTTCTGTAAGGGAGATCAAGGCATCTACACACTCCCATATTGAAAAGATTATTGATATTCATATAGAGATTATTCTTTTTTGAGCTTTGTACATTGATTCGTCTTGCTTGTTCATAAATCGTTTTCCACTCAATTTGATTTGTATTTCATTCTTTTTACGGTCAATATTCGATATATTTCTACTTGCTTTTTTCGGTTTGTGCTAAGTTATACCACGTATCTATAAAACTACGTATAAATTCAATTCTATCTATTTTTCGGATAAACAAAACCCTACACCCGTTAGTGTTTGAATTTTAATTGAGTTGCCATCTCCCTATTTCTAGAATTGTGCTTTGTCTTATGTTTACTTGAAAGCTCGTATTCATAGTTTTAGTTACGAGTGGTTGTGATTTATGAACACTTCAAGTATATCTCTGTTTTAGTAGTCAAAAACTGAGAAATTACGTAACATAATAAGACAGCATTGGTTTTATGACAATACATGCTAGCATTATAATTACAAAAATCAACGACCACAAAACCATACCCGCACTTGACGTATACACCGAACACTTAGAGAAACATTTTTAGTAAAGCAATTTCCAACACTCTTAGTTACATTTTGAGAGCTACAACAAACAATGAATAAGAATCATCATATAGTAGAAGGAAGAACAAGAGGTGTCCATCTTTTGAAACTTGAGCAGCAGAGTGACTCTGTCAAAGAAAAGCAACAGATGGCCTTAACGCACATATCTTGATGTCATAATTAGTTTTACAAGCTGAGAGCCCATCCCAATTAGGTGTTGCATCTGACTTCACATTAATATTTTTCCTGGCAAGAGAGGCAGCACTTGTATTATTATTTTCTATATGAGCAATACCAATGTAACTACTACAATTGCGACACAAAAGTTTAGTATGTTGTTTAAAGAAACCCCACGAGTTTTTGGACCTAAAATAAGGTATGCATCTAACTTTACTTATCTGAGTAAATCTGCTCTCATCAATGCATAAAAATGAGAGTACCCCTCTCCTCATTGTTTTCCCATACTTTGATCCAATGACTGTAGTATTCCGATTGCAAGAGTTGAGGTTCAACTCATATCCACACGATCCACAACTGAAACAAGAATAATTAAGCAAATTCTGTTAGAATCGTTATCACAATATCCTGTATTTCATGAGAGTTTGTCTTCTTTTTTTCCCTCTAATACTTGAAACCTTGCGCTTTACTATCAAAATCGCCATAAAATTAGAAGAAAAGAAATCCAATTCCAAGAACAGAGTATAATTAAGACGGGAAACTCAAAAAGCCTTTCGATCCAGAAGCAGTTAAATGAGGATAATTTTTTCATTTTGGTTGTACATTGTGTTGTAATTCTTGTACCTTCCAATCTACTAATCTGCTCTCACCATCTCATTTTATGCCATAAATTTTGAATGAATACAAAGTTTAAGAAAGAAAGAAATTTTTAATATGTTATCTAGAACAAATCATAGGTATTTATGTGGCTATAAATCAGATAAATATGAGAAGTTTAAGATTAGATTAATTGTAAATATAAAAACGTATCTTTATCATATAAATTAGGACCAACGGAGTAATAAATTTCTACAACCAGAAGGAAGTAGTATAAATAGAAACCTACCTGTAAGTGACGTCTCTTTCAACATTGCTTATGAGATGAGAGGAAAAGGGAAGAATATCATTATCAGCTAGTAAAGAGCAGCTGAAGAAATCTGTTTCGGCCAACATCTTCACGAGCTAAATGCAAATTAAGAAAATAACCCCTTTTGTTAATTGTTACTCCTCTCTCGAAACAAGTCTCTGCATATGTGCAGTGTTGATAATACTCCGTCTTTTGTGACAGCTAGCTTCACACTTTCGTTAAGGCTCCTAACGGTAACTAAGCCTGGGAATTATTGTATGTTACTAAACTGTCATCTGCTTCCTGAGTCAGGACTTGGATGTGTTAAATTTGATTTTAAGGGTGTTGGATTCATTAGACTTGAAAGAGTTCCCGATTTATTTTTCTTAAAAGCTTCATTAATATTATCTCTCATTCCTTCTTATTGACGATATTAATTGAATACGGATCTGATACAAAAATAATAACAATTATGCTTCAACGCCAAATAAGTTGCATTTGTTATGTGTCTCATTATTGTCTATATTTACCCGTAAGATGGTAC